CACATGGTGCGGTTCTATTTGGGCTTTATAGCGGAGATTTGAGCAAGATGAGTATTTGAGTATTGCGTGATTGATTGCGCGTTGGCTATGTTCTTTCCGAATGGTGGCATTGTGTTATTTTCTCTCCGTGGTGATGGTTATGCACTTTGGGTACTTGATGTCAAATTTTGAGTGGTTATGGATTTTGAGCAGGGTGGCTCGAGGTATACAATATGGACCAGCATTTGGATTAGGTCATTGGGCCTAGAATGGATACTATTGGAATTGATTACAACATGGTTGGAAGGATATTGTTGCTGATCGGCTTAGAAATTTGCTATAGTTCCTATCAAAGGAGAGGGAGTTCCACAACTTGTTGATCTGGCGAATGGTTATGAGTTTTTGCGTGTTTCTTTCATCGTTGGCAGTATATGAAGGTATTAGAACGAGGCTTTGTTTGATAAGAGGTTTATTACCGGCATTGGGTGTTTTGAGAAGCTACTGTGATTAGAAATTATTGCTACGAGTGTTTGATTATGAGGTGTATCATGTGATTAGATCTTGCGTTATGGCTATCGCTATCGGATTTCTCATGGTTCCATTAGCTCCGTTGGGTGATTTGGACTTAGGAGTGCATCCGGATTATGGTTTGGAGGTCCGTACTAGAATTTAGCTTGAAATGGCGAAAGTTTGAATTTTGGAAAGTTTGACCGGGAGTGGACTTTTGATATCAAAGTCAGATTCCGATTTTGGAAGTTGGAGCATGTCTGTAATGCCAAATGTGACTTGTGTGCAAAATTTGAGGTCAATTGGACGTGATTGATGGGTTTTGGCATCGGTTGTGAAAGTTGAAGTTTCAAAGTTCAATGATTTCGAATTGATGTGTGATTCGTCATTTTGATGTTGTTATGTGTGTTTTGAGGCCTCGAGTAGGTCCATGTTATGTTATGGGACTTGTTGGTATATTTGGACGGGGTCCCGAGTGGCTCGGGTGAGTTTCGGACAAGGTTCGGATAATTTTCATTCTATGTTGCATTGCTGAAGATTTTCTAGTTCTAGTATGACCGCACATGCGGAGTGTTGAGCGCAGGTGCAGAGCCGCAAAAGCGGCAGTGCCATCGCAGAATCAAGAGAGGGAGCTGGGCGTGAAGATCGTAGGTGCGGGTGCTTGGACTCACCTGCGCAAGTGCATATGCGGTTAGAGTGCGCAGAAGTGCGATCGCAGGAGCGACTTAAGGACCGCAGGTGCGAGGTTTTTCTAAGTGAGGCTCTTTCGCAAAAGCGAGGAATTACCACAAAAGCGGTGGTCGTAGATGCGACAATTTGACCGCAAATGCGGTATAGCTGGGCAGAGTTATAAAAATCGAGGGTTTTGGTCGTATTCATATTTTGAGATGTGGGACTCAGATTGAGGCGATTTTCGGAGAAAATTTCATCACAAGGATTGGGGTAAGTCTTCTCTACTCATTTTTTATTACATTTGATGAATCTATCTTCATTTTTGGCAATGTTGATGAATTTTAAGGAGAAATTGGGGGTTTTGGCCTAAAGTCATAATAGGAATTTTTGAGTTTTGAACACCGATTTGGAGTCGGATTTGAGTGGAACTAGTATGGTTGGACTCGAAAATTGAATGGGTTGTCGGATTTTGTGAATTTTGTCGGGTTCCGAGGCGTGGGCCCGGGTTGGACTTTTGGGCTTATTTCGGGCTTTGATTTAAGATTTGATCTTTTACGAGCGGGATTGGTTCCTTTAGCATTGTTTGATGTATTTGAATTGTTATTGATAAGTTTCGAACCGTTCGGAGGTCGGGACGTGCGAGATGGCATCTTTGGAGCATTGCTGGGCTTGCTCGACGTTGGTATTGGCTTGTTCGAGGTAAGTAACTCTTCTAAACTTAGTGCTGAGGGTATAAGACCCCGAATTACATGCTATATGATTGATGTTGAGGTGACGCATATGCTAGGTGATGGGCGTGTGGGCGTGCACCCTGTGAATTTGTGACTCCGTTGTTTAATGGCACTATTTAGTGGCCCTATTTTGTTGATATCTGTGTTTCACTATGTGATTAAGTAATTGAGCTGTACATCATGCTAAATATCCTCTTTAGGCTTTATGCTGATATTGTTAGGACCCATAGTGGTCATTTCTTGCAGTCATCTCATCGATTTCGTTGATATTTCGTACTCAGTCACATTTATGCATTCATATCATGTCTCAGTCTCAATTGTTACTTATTGATACATCATATCATTATTCTGGGTCAGTTTTCATGACATTGTGAGTCTGTGGGTGAGACTGGAGAGATTGATGACTGAGTGAGGCCGAGAGCCTGATTGTCAGTGACAGTTATGGGATCGGACTGCACGCCAGTGGTTATATTGATGATTATGATAGCGCTTGGGCTGAAGGAGCCCTTCCGGAGTCTGTACACACCCCAGTGAGCGCGGATGATATTATTGAGTGATGGATTTCCCTGGACATCGATTTGTTCGAAGTACTTGATACTTGGAGATGGATTTCTCCACAGGATTGGATTGCCCTTTTTTCTCTGTACTGGGTGACTTATAGTCAGTGTTGTATATGTTCCGAGATAGATTTCCCTGGGCCATATGAGCTATATACAGTATCGAGTGGTTGAGAATAATGAGTGGAAAGTGCGAGACAGTGAGATTGAGTACTCTAAGAGTGTGAGTACATAATTTATCTCTGAGATACATGGCATTGGCATGCACACATGACATACAGGCATAGAGGTGCATTTTTCTCATGCTGTACGGTATCACGTCATTCATGATTCTTCATACATATTGATATGTGGGCATAAAGAGGTATTTCACACTTGCTATCTGGAAAGAGAATGAAATATCTTATTTAACGTGAAAAGGATTTTTAGATAAATTACAATTTCAAACTATCTCATATTTTACGATGATTTCGGTATAGGAGTTGAGTTTTCACTGATATTGTTGAAAAGCTTTCAGAAAACTGTGAAAAAGCTGAGCATTTATATCTCTGAGTTGATTTCTTATATGCTTTACGTTGTTATGAACTGCTATTGGTTATTGGTGTTAGACCCGACCAATACTCCAGCTCGTCACTGCTTTCAACCTAAGATTAGGCTTGTTACTTACTCAGTACACGGGGTCGGTTGTACTGATACTACATTTCAGCACATTGCGTGCAGATGTTGGCTGCTGTGTTGTTGTGCTCGATGGTTGCTGGATTGAAGATGTACCTACGTTTTTGTTGTAGCTGCCTCTGTTTCATGGTACCCGTAGAATTTATAAAACTCTATTTATGTACTTTTCAAACAGAAGATGCATTTACTTCATATCAGCTTGTAAACTCTATTCTTAGAAGCTCATGATTTGTACTACCAGTCCTTGGAAAATGTATAAAATTCAGTTAACTTCTCTATTTAATTACTTGACTGACTTCATTGGAATTGGGTAGTTATTAGTTGGCATACCTAGCAAGTTGGGTTAGGTGCCATCACGACTAGTGGATATTGGATTGTGACAGATACATTTGCTCTTGAGTCAGTCAATTCAGGTGAATCAATTGAGGTGTTCGAACTGGAAATGAATTTGATTATTTCAAAAACTAACCAAAGAGAGGTCATGGCTGGACAAGTATATAAGGATAAGGCCACATTGAAAGCGGTGATGGAGCAGTATGCAATTGCTGAGAGGTTTCAATTTCGGGTTGATAGGTCTAATGCTATCAGGTTTGAGTGTTCTTACTTACAACATGTTGAACAACAAGGTTTATTCAATTGTATTGATATGTATTCTGAATTTTTGTATAATGTATTCATGGCAGAATTTTTAAAACTACTGCATGTATAATATATGTATTTGATAATATATGATTTCCTTCATTCTATTTTTCATGTATTAGTGTTTCTGCACCTGAGTTTTCTAAAACAATTATATCATGTATATATATCCATCACTGTATTAACATGTATATGAGTGTGATATAATCATGTATACATATGCATCATTGTATTCACTTGTATATGAGTGTATTCTGTAATCATGCATACATATGTAGCACTTTATTCATATGTATTAAAAAAAAGAAGTTATAGTCTATTCAAGAAACAAACATTGTATTTCACTGTGTGTTTTCATATAGACAACTTTGTTGCCAAATGAAACTGCCGGGTGTACGTAGACAAATCAGTTGTAGTTTCTGTTAATATTTTGTATCCATACATAGCTGATCGTATGTGTTACATAAATGTATTTGCAGCTATACATTATTATGTATTTCAGATGATTGTGAATGGATATTTAAGGCTTCTAGCATTAATAAATCACAAATGTTCAAGTGATTTAAGGCTACTAGCACTAAATCATAAGGTGTATGAGCAACGTCAAGTAAGTAGTAGCCTTATTGGTGGTATGATTGTGTCCAAATTTACTAATCATAAGAGGAAATACACACCAAAGGATATAATTGATGATGTGAAATGATACTTTGGTGTAGATGTTAGTTATATGTTGGCGTGGTGGGCTAAAGAAAAGGCAAAGAATTTTTTGAGAGGTGAACCGGCTGATTCATATAATAAATTGCCATGGTACTTATATACACTAGATATGTCATATCCTGGTTTGCATATTGGAATGGTAAAATCACCAAAAAATGAGTTCATGTATTTGTATATATCGTTGTATGCTTTTATAAAGGGGTTCGATCACTGCAGACCCATCGTGATTATGGATGGCAACCACCTAAAATCGGCATACACAGGGACATTCGTCTCGGCTAGCACGTTGGATGGTGCAGGTGAGTTTGTTAAAAAGAATACATATGGATTATAGTAAGATTTGTTAAGTTTTCTGCCTAATACAGATTGAATGATTTTTTTTATATATGTATGCAATTGTATTTACAGGTCATATAATGCCACTAACATATGGTATTGATTTAGAGAACGATGCTGCTTGGTCGCGGTTCTTTGAGCAATTCAAGGAAGCGGAGAGAAAACATGTGCATCGTTTCAGATAGGAATGAGAGCATCATCAAATCTGTATCGAGAGTGTATCCTACGGGACCCCATCTTGCTTGCATATGGCATCTATGGAACAACGTATAAGAAATACAAAAAGAGTCATTCAAAGTTGAGCGAGATATACTTCTCGATGGAGAAAGCATACACTCAGGATGAATTTGATAGTCTAATGGAAAAGGTGGAGAAGGTAGATATTCGGGTAAAAGAATACTTGGGATTAGCTGCGTACGAAAAGTGGGCTAGGTTGTATGCACATGTTAACCGGGGATGGACCATGACGTCAAATATTGCTGAATCAATCAATGCCGCACTTGTATCAGCAAGAGAATTGCCAATATACGACTTCCAAAAAGAAGTTAGGAAGATGTTTGGACGTTGGAATTGCAGCAATCGGAAGGAAGCTTCACACACTTACACAACGCTTGGGAAAAAATACCAAGAGATGCTTACTTTGAATGAGGCAATGTTTACACGTATGACTGTAATTTTTTTTTTTGCTTTAAGTCCTTGCATCATGTATTTAGACCTGGTATAACATGTATTTATTTCTGATACAATTTCTACTATTAACATACTGCATGCTCATTATATTATAGCACTTGTGCATGTATTATGTTGTATGAAACAACTTTAAAAATTGGTTATTATATGTATACATTGCTTGTTTATACATTTGCATTTAATTGTTTGTATTCAATAGTTTTATTTCAAATTAGATGCATTTTCTAGCAGATAGACCATATTTTAATGTATATCACTGTATTCCTCAGTTAAATGTGTTCGTCTTCAATAGTCTGTCAGTCTTAATATAGTCAGTATTCGCTGAATTCCATACATTTTATTGTATTTCATACATACATATATTATATTTAGATTTCTGAAAGTTTAATATTTATTGACATGCTGCATATTTAAACTTTTTTTTATTGTATACATGTATTCTGTAATTAATACGTATATTCTTTGTGATATATGACTTTTTACAAATGACCAAAACTTATATTTTTCTATTTAATGTAGGTTGTACATCGACTGAACAGTTGCATAAGGTGAACGATGAAGGAAGGCATTACACTGTTTGCCTCCTAGAGAAAAAGTGCAGTTGTAGGCGGTTCCAAGTTGACGAATTACCATGCCCACATACTTGGGCTGTCTTGAAAAGCAAGTTTCTAATGCCGGAAGATTATTGCTCGGACTATTACAAACCAAAGTTTGTTGTAACGACATACGACGTGCCGGTGTGTCCACTGCCTGACCGAAGTGAACGGAATATACCAGCACATATATCAGAGAAAGTTGTCTTACCACCCAAATGGAAAAGACCTCTTGGAAGGCCAAAGAAGAAACACGATAAGCCGTTCAGTGAATTATTTCAGAAGAAAAATCAACATTCGTGTAGTATATATGGTCAGGGAAGACATAATAAGCGTAATTGTAGAAATGCTCCCACGTAGAAATCAGTTCATGTTTTGATTTCAATTGCTGCAATAACGATATGTCATAGATTTTTTTCAAGTTTTATATTATGTATTGATTTTTGGTGTATCAAATTTTTTAGTTTCAGATCACTAAAAATATTTTTTAGTGATATCTTTACAAATTGATTTATATACAGAAATGAGGTATAACAGGTCATCAATAGAGCAATACATTGATACATACTGTAGATATAGTTAAATACACATATACATCTGAATACATAAATTATATTAATTAAAAAAAGATATGAATACATTCTACAATTCATTGAAGACATACTGCTGAAGATATATTGCTGGAAAAAATAGTGGAACAGAGTGAAGCTTTGAATTTATAGAATTATATTACATATAGTTAAATACAGTGAATAGGTTGAAAAAGTAGATGACACTAAAGACAGTGAATACAGGGAATATAGAGATATATATTGAATACAATGAAAATATAGTGAATAAATTGAAAACATAGAATACAATAACTACAGTCAGTGCATAAAGTGAATACATGACTTGCATTTCAAATTTACTACCGAACATATATGGGAATAACATAACTAATATTAATTAAAAATATATATGAATACATAAGAATACATATTGAAATACACTGAATACATACTGTTGAATACATATAGCCGGATAATTCAGTGAACACATTGAAGCTTTAGATAACTTGAATAAACCAAAGACAGCATAACTTAAAGGTTGTTTATGTATTCCTTCAGCAACATCTTATAGACAAAAAAGTTATGTATTCTAAAAATAAAATAGGTTGACTAAAACCATAATGTATTCTTTAAAAATCTTCAAAAACTATCTTCACAGAAGACTATGCTTCATAGAAAACTATGTTCAAAAAACTATCTTCATAAACTATCTTAAGAGAAACCACTTCAAAATACATCTTCACAGAAAACTATTCTAAAACTATCTTCACAGAAGTATTTGAATCTGTGATTTGCCTAACAATCTTTGAGGGTGCTTCATTCTCGCTTATGGCATGTAACGACCCGATCGGTCATTTTGAGCATTTGCACTTCGCTCGATAGTTTGGGGGTACGAGTAGCTCCGTATGATGTATTAGGACTTGTATGCAAAAATTTGAGTTCATCCTGAGTTGATTTGATATGTTTCGGCGCGAGTTTTGGATGTCGAAAGTTCGAAAGTTCATTATGTTTGATTTGAAGTGTGTTTCGTCGTTTCGATATTGTTATACGTGATTTGAGGCCTCGAGTAGGTCTGTTTATATTATGGGACTTGTTGGTAGTTCGTACGGGGTACCGAGGGGCTCAGGTAAGTTTCAGATAGGTTTGGGCTGTGTTGCGCTTGTTTTCTTATGTTTCGGCGTCGTTTCTTCAAGCATAAATGGTACCACATTAAGCAAATAACCTCCAATTTTTGTTTTGATTGAAGCAATAGATCCGTATTGTAATTACGGAGGCATATCAAAAACAATCGTTGAATTTGGACATCACATGAAGATTTTATGGCCATTTTACTAAGAATTGGGTTGCCAGATTTTTTCAGATTAATTACGAAATTACCACTTCTTCGTAATTAAAAATTTCCATTATTTCCAAATATTGAAACCAACATATCTCCATCATTATAAGGTCAAATGGAGTGATTAAAAAGCCTATCTTGACTGAAATTTCATAAGAAATCTATTGGAGGCATCAAAAGTAAATTTCGAGATTGTTTGACACGCAAAACAAGGCAGAACAACTGGGCAAAATTACTTAATATGGAAGGTTTGTTCATGTGGTCATATTTTGAGTTGGGGAGCTTGGATTTGGACAATTTTTGGAGGCGATTTTCACCATCTGGATTAGGATAAGTGTTCTATACTCGATTTTGTTTATATTTCATGAATCCATCTTTATTTTTGGCATTTGATTGATGATTTCAAAGTAAAATTTGGGGGTTTTGTCTAAAATTTTATAAAGTGAATTTTGGAGTTTTGAACACCGATTTGGAGTCAGATTTGAATGAAACTAGTATGATTGGACTCGTAATTGAATGGGTTGCTAGATTTTGTAAATTTTGTCGGGTTCCGAGTTGCGGGCCCGGGTTGGGCTTTTTGGCCGATTTTGGGCTTTTGATTAAAGATTCGACCCTTTTCGATTGGCATTGGTTCCTGTAGCATTGTTTGATGTATTTGATTTGTCTTTTGGTTAGATTAGAGCCGTTCGGAGGTCGGAACGCGCGTGATGGCATTTTCGGAGCATCGCTTGGCTTGCTCGGTAGTGGAATCGGCTTATTCAAGATAAGTAACTCTTCTAAACTTAGTGCTGAGGGTATGAAACCCCAAATTATGTGTTGTGTGATTGATATTGAGGTGACACACATGCTAGATGACGGGCGTGTGGGCGTGCACCGTGTGAGTTGTGACTTCGTTGTTTTCCCTGGTACTGTTTAGTGGCCCTATTAATTGAGCTGTCAATCATGTTGGATATCATGTCTAGGCTTTATGCTGATATTGTTAGGACCCATAATGGTCGTTTCTAAATTCGACCTCGCTCGAATCAGCAAGACAAATTCAACCTCGCTCGAATCAACAAGTCTAAATTTGACCTCGCTCGAATTAACAGTTAAAATTTGACCTCTCTCGTATCAGCAAGACAAATTTGATCTCGGTCGAATCAACAAGTCTAAATTCGACCTCGCTCGAATCAATAGGTCTAAATTCAACCTCACTCGAATTAGCAAGTTAAAATTCGACCTCGCTCGAATCAACAAGCTAAAATTCGTCCTCGCTTGAATCAACAAGTCTAAATTCGACCCCGCTCGAATAAGCAGTTAAAATTCGACCTCGCTTGAATCAGCAAGACAAATTCGACCTCGCTCGAATCAACAAGTCTAAATTCGACCTCGCTCGAATTAGCAAGTTAAAATTCGCCCTCGCTCGAATCAACAAGCTAAAATTCGACCTCACTCGAATCAACAAGTTAAAATTCGAGCTCACTCGAATTAACAGTCTAAATTCGACCTCGCTCGGATCAACAGGTCTAAATTCGACCTTGCTCAAATTAGCAAGTTAAAATTCGACCTCGCTCAAATCAACAAGCTAAAATTCGACCTCGCTCGAATCAGCAAGTTAAAATTCGACCTCGCTCGAATTAGCAAGTTAAAATTCAACCTCGCTCGAATCGCCATGTTGAAATTCGACCTCTCTCGAATTAATAGTCTAAATTCGATCTCGCTCGGATTAACTACCAAAAGTCAGGGACTCATTGCGAAAAGATCCGAGAAATTCAAAAAAAAAAAGAAAAAAAGAAAGGCTAAAGGCATACAATCAAGGACAAATCAACAGTTCCATTCAAAAGGAAAATAGCGTCTAACAAAGGGCCAAAAGGGGGTCCCCGTCCAACTAACCAAATACAGGAGGAAAAAATTAAGTACAAAGGCTTCACTCAGCATTACCCCCATCCACGTCGTCATCTCTCTCCCCGTTAGGTTCAGCGGTTTTGCCTCCAACGTCACCCTCTCCATCAGAGTGCTCATAATCAAAGAAAAGCCCGTCCTCGGCCTCATCATCTGCACCGGCCTCCAGTGTCGTGGGGTCATAGCTGCAAGCAAGCCGGGCCTCACAGGCTTTAACACGAACCTCTTTGAAAGCGGCTTCAGAGACATTCTCTGCTGCCAACAAGCCCTTATATATATCCCGCTGAGCCTCAGCGTGGACCCACATCTCGTACAAAGGGCGAGGAACGTCAATAGAGGTGGGTGCAGGAGGAGTCGAAGCCAACAATTGCGCCCTCTCCGCCTCGAGGGCAGTAATTTGATCACCCAGGCTTGAGACGTCTCTCTCAAGTTCGCCAATTCGCTCATCAAGTCGTGCCTCCCTCAGAGCAGCCATCCCCATCTCAGTGGCACGTTCAAACCTGAGAACGCAGATAGAATCTTCCAATGCCGAAGCCCTCACCAAGGCTGCTACTCAGGCTCCCTTAGTCCTCTCCAGCTCGGTCGCCTTCCCTTCGAATTCGGTCACCTTCTCCGCTAATTCAACACTTAAACCGGCAACCCTAATGTCACTCTGTTTGATCTCCGCCCGCAGGGCCACCACCTTCGCCTAAAGATCAACACACTCAGCTACAACACCCGTGCCACCTCGAGCTCTTCTTCTTTAGCCCTAAGCAACCCCTCGAGTTTGCTGCATCTCCTCATAGACCGCATCAGGTCCTCGTCCTTCCGCTCCAACTCCTCCCTAAGGGACTGAGGATTGCCGTCTGCCCTGAGTCGTGCATGCATCTCGCGGCACTTATCACGATATCGATGCTATTTTGAAACCATTTTCTGAAAAGCGACAGCCCGCCTCTTCTCGCGGTGGATACTCTCCATCTACAAAATAAAAGTCTGAAGAAAGAAAAGAGAATATAAAGAGAAAATTAGCAAGAGTAGAAGACGTAAAACGAAGAAAGCAATGGATTCTCCCCCAAAGCCATTCCGGCTACGCCCCGTGATAGGCCAGCATCGCTGATCTCCTGAAGGGTCCTGCTTTCGGTAGCAGAACAAAGAAGGGCAAATTGGGGCACCAAGCTCACCGTGTCCTCCAACAAATCGCACTCGAAAGCAATCTCAATCACGCGGGAGGGATCATCTGTTCCCGCCTCCACCCGAGTGAATCCCGCCAAAGACATAAGCGCCTCAAACATAGTTATGTCTTCGGGTTCAATATCTGAACCGGATTCATAGTAATCTACAACTACGCCCTTTTCCCTCTCGTTGGCCGAAGAGGGAGCATAGGCCTATTGAGAAGTCGATGGACCACTTGGAATGATCGTAGCGGCCTCCGAGTTCTACCCCCTACACGGTAGACTCCCCTACGCTAGAAACGGGCACCACCTCCACGTGCGAGGGGGACACGGTCTCCTTATCTAAATTGGCATCACCAACAGGCTCATACCCTACCAATACGGGATCACCCCTCGAAGGCCCCTCGGTCCTAGGTACCACATCGGCCCTTATTCGTCGCC